CTCCTTGTTGCCCGTGCTGCAGTGGTGGTGGTAAGCACTTCTGTACGCGTCGACATGACGTTGTGTTACACACGTGCTTGTGGCTTGCCTAACCACTATACGCGTATTCATTCCTCACACCACCCCTCTGTCCCTCTGCCTGCCATATGTGTGTGTGTGTGCGTGATCAGCCTGCAGCAGCTGCTTGAGAATCCAGGCGCAGAGGACCTGTGTCTCGACTTTACAATGACCAACGAGATGCAGGATGGAACAGTCGTCGTCTCAAACATCATCGATCGCGGTGGGTGTGTGCGTGTGTGTATGTGTGTGTGTTTGTGCGATTGCTCTGTGTGTGTGCGTATGTGTGTTTGTGTGTTTGTGCGATTGCTGTGTGTGCGTATCAATTCACATGTTCAAAGTCCACCTCACATCGCTCACCACCACCACCACCATCACCCTTCTTCACCCCACTCCCCCCGTGGCCAGGCAATGAGGTTGACGTGACGGACAGCAACAAGCGGGAGTACGTCGACCGCCTCCTCCGCTTCCAATACAAGGACGGCGTCAGGCAGCAAAACGCAGCGTTCTTCCGCGGCTTCACAGAGTGCGTTTGGCTGTGTGTGAGAGAGCGCGCGCGTGTGTGTATACTTGTGTGTTTGTGTGTGTGTATGTGTGTGTGTGTGTGTGTGTGTGTGTGTGTGTGTGTGTGTGATCATGTGTGTGATCACGGATTTTCTGCCCCACAAGTCACACTCACGAACACATCCAATCACCGCCATCATACACATGCACCACTGACACAGGTTCATCCCAGCGTCGTCTGTGCGGCAGTTCTCTGCCGGGGAGGTGATATCGCTGATTGCGGGCAGCAGCACCATCGACGTGGACAACTGGCGCGAGGAGACGGTGTACGAGGAGTACGACAAGGACTCGCAGATCGTGCAGTGGTTCTGGGAGATTGTGGCGGACATGAGTGATGAGCAGCGCAACGACTTGCTCCGTTTCTCCACGGGCTGCTCGCACATTCCAATTGAGGGCTTCAAGGGGCTCCAGGGCACGCACGGCACGAACAAGTTCACCATCGCAAAGTGCGTACATGTGCTGGTACTGTGGTGTCGTGGTGTGTGTGTGTGTGTGTGTGTATGTGTGTTGTTGTTGCTGGTGCCTTGCGCGTTGTAGAGGCGGTGGTCGGTTCAAAGGGTGTTGGTGTTGTTCGCTTTGGTGCAAGCAACCGCAAGCTGTGGTCTCACGCCAACCCAACCCCCCCCCTCCCCCACTTCTTCCCATTTCATCACCACATTACACAAATCACAGGGCGGGCGACACGCGGTACTTGCCTGTCGCACACACGTGCGTGAACCGGATGGACATTCCGGAATACTCAACCAAGGAGGAGCTCAAATCCAAACTTGAAACGGCAATCAGCGAGACTGAAGGGTTTGCCATCGTGTAAGCCACGATGGATGATGATGGATGGACGGATGTGATGATGGATGGTGGTGGTGATGACTGTTATTTCGAGGTGATTATTCGATCGGGTGTGCGTGTGTTTGCAAGTGTGCTTTGTAGTTATGTTAACGGCGTTGGTCTTTCTCTTTGCAGCCATTGTGCGCCTTTGTCTTCTCTATTCGAACAGCAGTAAACGGATAGTTCTTGCGAGCACACAAGAACGCAGCGCACTTTCGTTGTCCAACACACACACGCAGACACACACACACACATGCAACGGGGCGGTATCTCAGCGCCTGCGATCCGCGTGCCGTTTGTACCGCTCAAGTTCCTGTTGACAAAGCCACGAAAATGCAACAGCTGCGTGAGCATGCTCTTGAGACATCGAACAATGTTCGTCGACCCTCGCACCCATTTCAACACCCTTGCTTGCATGCATGAAATATTGCTTGCAGGGACACCTGCATCTTTCGCTGCCTCGCTTCGTCAATGGCCGGCTCTTTGTATCGCGTGTCCTGCGCAGGGTCCGTCTTGTCATCCGCCTATTTCGAATCGTGTGTTGTATGTGTATGTGCGTGTGTGTGTGAACGCGCGTTCGCTTGGGTCGACACACAGACAGACAACCCCATCGTCAAGCAAACACATATCCGCTCGTCAAACATTACCCCCCCCCCCACACACACACACACTCCATGCACAAACACACACACACGCGCGCGCGCGCACCACCTCCCATCCCACTCGTCGCGCGAATCACCTCTGGCCTGTCCATGTCCACGCCGTCCTGTGGAAATATCTCCGTAAACGCGCCCTTCCACAGCCCAAGCGGTGTCCTGCGCAGCGGGCACGTTTACGTTTGGTGCGGGCGTGGTGTGTTGTAATGTGTATTGTAACGTGTACATGTGTGTGTTGTGAGAGAGCTCGCGTGAGGAGGGAATTGCTGAAATGTAGAGCGCGTGACACGTGCGTCATTCAGACAGGGACTGGCGCGAGTACAGGCGTGCACAGCGTGCACAACCAACTGGTATATGTGATCACCTGGCTGACAGCGCTGCCTGGCCGGCTGCCTGTGGTGGTGCTCCTGCCAATCGCAGCAGCCGCAGGTGGGGAGCAGAAAAGGAAGGGGATGTGAGAAGAGGAAATGGTTGTTGATGGTAATGAAGGTGGTGGTGGCGGTGGTGGTAGCATAGGCGCGAAGCACAACAACAGCGAGATAAACACACACACGGCTTCAGGGCAACCAGAAGACCAACGAAGCAGCAAACCCCCTTCCCCAAACACCCCCACCCCACGAGGTTCTGAGCACAGAACGTCTCATTGGCATGACGCCCTTCGTTACCGATGCTCTCGAGCGAGTCTGCGCCAACGGGGATGAGGAGCGGTTTGTTGTGGTCAAAGTGCGCCGACCGCCTGGTGCACCATGTGATGGCGGTGATGGGGTAACGGTGGTGGTGGTGATCGTGAGGTTTGCACATGACGAACACACGCACGCACGCACACACACACACACACACACACACACACACACAACAACTCACTCACTCACACACACACGACTTACACACACACACACACACGACACACACACAACTTACACATTGAATGGGATCTTGAATGCAAAGTTTGCGAGCTGTGCCCGACAGCGAACCATCAAGCTCTCCTCCTTTGGTGATAACGCACCAGTTGCAACGAACACAAAAACACGATAGGGTGGCGAGCAGTTGAGGTGTGGCAGTGCATGCTTAGGGGGCAGGGGGCATAACACCAGCACGCAGACGACGAGAAACGACGACCACCGCCACACCCGCTCTTCTTTCAATACCAATCAACCCGTCACCACCACCACCACCACCACCACCACCATCACCACCACCATCACCACCACCATCACCACCATCACCACCATGAGGACCTGGCTGGTGAAGATGAGAGAACCGCCGTGGAAATGGGCGAGGAAGCGGAGGGTTCGCGCAATGGTCTTGCGTCGCTCGGAGTCAAAGTTCTTTGCACCACCAATTGGCGAAGAGAGGAGGGGGATGGCACGATCAACACGGTGCATTGGAACGTGCATGAAGCAAACGTGTATATGCACACGCACACTTTCACGTGCCGACACACACGCACACACATGTACAAATACGCAACTACATACACGCATTTACAAACGCACCTGGAAGACGTCGTATTTGGTGCCGACGATGAGGAGCGGAACGAGCAGTGGCTGAATCATGGGCAGATCCTAAAGTCAACCGCAACACACACACACACACGCACGCACACATGTACACACACACACACACATGTACGCGGTGAGAGATGGGTTGGAAGGTGGTGACACACGTGTGTATGGGTTGAGGTGAGGGTGCTTTTTCGCTGTGGTCTCTGTTGGACAAGTGAACGATGCAGACACAATACAAGGGTGATGTGCTGCTCATATTCCACATCGCACATGACGATGACACATTTGCATGACAGCACCAACGAACCGGGTGATCGTCGCCGTATCTGCTCACGGACTTCTTCTTCAGATACGCAGGCAGCCTGAGCACACACATGCACACATGCACACATGTGCATGTGTGGATGATGGCGCAGCGTGAAGATGGGCAGCGAGGGGCACGGCATCACATCGTTAAGGTCGAGGAGTCCACGCCACAAGGCAGCACAAACACAACCGACAACAACAACCATTATCATCATCATCATCATCATCATCATCATCATCATCATCATCATCATCATCATCATCTTCATCTTCATCTTCATCATCATCATCATCACCACCACCACTACGCACTTTGACTCTCGGCGATTGAGGTCGTCAATGACTTTGTCGATGCGCCGGCGCACGCTCGACAGCAGCGCCTCCGATGTCGTCCATAGCTGCTGAGGCTGACTCAGGTCAACCACAAGCACTACACACAGCGACCTGCGGCATTGAGACAAGGGGGGGGGGGGTGCGTATGGTCAAGTGAGTGCATTGTGTGTGTGTGTGTGTGTGTGTGTGTGTGTGTGTGTGTGTGTGTGTGTGTGTGTGTGTGTGTGTGTGGTGTTTTTTTGTACATATCTTGCTCCAAAACCAACTCTCCCCTTCCCATTCTCCACTCCCTTCCCTTGCACCCTGCATCTCGACCTAATTGAGTGTGGGTGCCTTGATGGGCGGGTCGACAAGATTCCCCGGGGAGGGGCGGGCCGCGAGCTCCCAGAAATGTGGCGACATGCTTCCCTGCGGGGATATAGAGGGTGGAATGGGGGGAAGAAAAAAAAAAAGAAGAATGAAGCGATTCTCCTACCTAATACGCTGAGACACAGACACATCAGAGGCAGAGGGGTGCGGAGCCCGTTTGATTGCAGTCTATCGGACGCGGCAGCAAAAGAGAGAGGGGCGTTAAGACAGAGAGAGCACGAAGCGAAGAGCGGGGGGCTTACTCGCGAGCTAGCCGCTCACTCTCGCCTGCCTGCGGGGGTGAGGAGGAGGTGAGGAGAGAGCAGAGAGCATGGAAGGAGGGTTCGAGGGAAAGAGGTGTGGATAGAGGCAGAACTGGGGTGGAGGGAACCGGCATGCCGGACGG